GTGATAATGATCCATTAGCCAATATTCTTTGGGGCATGAGATTATTTTATTATCTACAACCCACATTACTGCTATATCATCAGATTACCTCAATATATTCATATTGTCCAAAAGATGCTCAAGACACTATCAAGTGAAACAACATCTCACTAGTCTAAGTAATTTATCATAAAGTGAAATAGGATCAGTTAAATAGGATTTAGTACTAAACTTAGTGAAGCCATAAATGCTCAATCTACTGTGTAATTATGCTACTAAGAAGCTATAAAGTTTATTTATATATATATATATATATATATAAAACACATATACATGTTTTCTATCAAAATAATTACATTTAAAAAGTTTTGGTGATTAGAAAATAATCTTTAGTTACTTATGGAATACTTCATTTTCCAGTGAAATATTTCTATTGTATAAGAATGAGTTGTAAAAATTATCACTGAATGCTGCATACAGAAAATCTCAAAAATTTAAGATTTTCATATATTGCTAAAAAGAATTTCACATATTCATTGAAGTCCACCTAAAAGATATATAACAAGTTTAACAAAATAGATGGGCTTTGTAAAAAACCCCAGAAATAATATATCAGAATATATTATATTTATTATATTATATTAACATATTTAGTGACTAAACTTCAAAGGGGTGGGTAGGAGGATGACAGGTTTTACAGGCAAATCATGATCTAACAGCATATTTAAATTGAGGCAGCATATTCACATACTATAGTACCAGCAGCACTAATCCTCCACATTGCCTATTGGGGCAGTAGCTAGTAAGATGTTGTTGAGATAACTGGCTTCCATTAGCAAGTATGTGATTGGCAGGATGATAAAGTCTTTTCACTCACAGGTCAGCTATTTCCTTTTCTTTAGACCAGGGCAATCCTGATGATCCATCTTTTAGCTACAGTCTCTCATTGAGTCCCAATTCTCTTGCCTTCAGCTTTGATACGGTTCTAGCTTTCCTCTTGTATCAGCTCATACTTGTCATCAACTCCTCTATTCAGTAGAGCAAATATCAGGAGTTTGACCTCAGGGCAAAGTCCGGGTGGGCAGGTAAAATTTGACCACTGGACCTACTTCCTAATCTTTCATACCCAGCAATTCATGAAGCAGTATCAAATTCAAACTAAAAAACAGAAGCATGACCTCTTATAAGTACTATGAAAAGGGCTCTTTTGCCTTTCTAAGTACACTTGAAAAGAACTGTCAGCTTCCCTATTAAGACAGAAATGGATCACAGGCTAGAAAAAAAAGAAGGAAAAGTGCAGAAACTGAACTAAAATGTAAATAAAGGTATTAGCACCCCTTTATGTTTAGTGATATACTACTTCGTAAAAACACTATGCCGTAAAATATCTTTATGAACTCAGAAAAAAACCACTATTGAAATTTTAGGGCATTCTTATTTAAATAATCACTAACATCTGATGCAAAAAAAAACTTGTATATTCTCATGTGAGGCTTTTGTTTTCAAGTTTAGTTTTATTTTTTGGCCTATTCTCATACTTGGCATTTTGCCACTTGTTTATAAATTAATTTAAAAAGCAAATATAGGTGAAAATACCATTTTAAATAGATTAACTACTGAAATCATAAGTTATGATTAAGTTATGCTACAGTGATCAAATAGCTAAAAACAAAAATTACTAACCATTTTAGAATATAAAAGTAGAATAGAATATGACCAGATTTTAACATTAATAATCAGAGAAGGGCTGAGGTTGTGGCTTAGTGGTAGAGTACTCACCTAATACTGGGTTTGATCCTCAACACTACATAAAAATAAACAAATAAAAATAAAGGTATTGTGTTCATCTACAACTAAAAAAATATTATAAAACAATAATCAAGGAAAATTATTTTATGCCCTTTTAAAACTAGAAGAATTCTCATGAAAATCAGAGAGACCAACAGAATAGAGGAAAGGGTCTGGAGAAGGCAGGAGGTAAGAGAAAGGAGAAATATTGGGGAATGATATAAATGATACAAATTATATTGCTATATATATTCATCTACAAATATGTAACAACAAATCCCATCATTATATATGATTATAATGTGCCAATAAAAGTCCAATTTTCTATTCACTGGTCTATAATACTG